GGTTCTATGATTCTATGAACTACCTGAAGGACAGAACTTTCCAAAGAGGACGGAAAGAGTCTGTTCTGAGTGGTGACGGATGCAGTTGTCTCAAGTTTCAGTGGCAGAAGTCTAGTTTGGAAAAACTATTTCACTAGCAGGGTGATGGTTATCCCTAGAGGTTTTTAAGTCTCGGCTTGACAAAGCTCTGGCTGGGATGATTTAGTTGAGGTTGGTCCTGCTTTGGACAGGGGGTTGGACTCAATGACTTCCTGAGGTCTTTTCCAATCCTATAATTCTATGATTATAGAATTATAATCAACAACCTTTGGAAGTTGAAGGAAGGTAATGTGATGCTACTGCGGTACAAAAATACAGAAAATAATAAGATGCCTTTTGATGTCTGATTCTACAGTCTTTGTTCAGGCAAAACTTTCAATGAAATCAATGGGAGTATGGTGTAACTCACGCTGGATTGAACTCTTAAAGTAACCATTTCAGAAACAAAAGACAGAACTATGTAGCACTTTAAAGACTAACAAGATGGTTTATTAGGTGATGAGCTTTCGTGGGCCAGATCCACTTCCTCAGATCAATATGTGTGTGGGGGGGGGGAACCTTAGTGTTGCTTGAAATATATTGCTGCCATCTGGTGGCTGTAATTCACCATTATCATCTGTACTGTAAAGTGTTTTAGAACAATTCCTGATAAGATCTCCAAAAGCAGATAATGATTCTGAATTGTTGTGGTCTGTTATTGAACCTGTTCAAAGTTTTGTGAGACTTTACAGCTCACATCATGTAAGATTATCTACTATTACTAGATCCTTATATGGAGTACTATAAGGTCTGTAAGCAAAGGTCAGAAAGATTTATTTAAGAGTTTGTTTTTGGCTTGGCTTTGTGTTGGCTTAAGTAAGTCTCTTCGCACTACAGGCAGTCCCCGGGTTACATACAAGACAGGGACTGTAGGTTTGTCCTTAAGTTGAATTTGTATGTAAGTCGGAACTGGCATCCAGATTCAGCCGCTGTTGAAACTGACCAGCAGCGGCTGAATCAGACACGCCTGGGGCAGAGCAGCTGGGGTGCTGCTGGGTTGGTCCCGCAGCGCCGCTCCTTGGCGCTACTGGACCAACCTGGCAGCCCCCCAGCTGCTCTGTCCCAGGCGTCCCGATTCAGCTGAGGGGTGCTGCCGAGTTGGTCTTGCTGCACCAAGGGGCGGCACTACCGGACCAACCGGGCGGATCCCTACATACGAACAGGGCTTTTCTCACCGCGGAGGACGCGGGCGGCGGGCCTGCCCAGACGCGCCGCGGTCCCGCCGCCTGCGTCCTCTGCGGCGAGAAAAGCCCCGTTCGTATGTAGGGATCCGACATAAGTCGGATCCACGTAACCCGGGGACAGCCTGTATTGTAAATATACTTCCTATAGAGAAAGCTTGGACAACTCTCTTCTGTGTTGTAGTGACTTCAGAAACCAGGTATTAGTAAATCCCATGTTGCAGTACACATTTTTGTGGAAGTCACTACAAGTCTTAAGTAGGGATGTAACAGTGTATTTGATTAGTCGATTAACTGATAAACAAAAGCTTATAGGTTAATGCTGTAGACTACATGCATTTCTTCCCCTGCCAGCAAATTTTTTAGCAGGCTGGCCAGCAGCCCAGCTCATTTCTGGCTTGCACCAGGTCCAGGACCTACCCCCGCTGCACCTTTGCATTTAAAGTGTATTATGAGTCAGGCGGGCAGGCAATCCAGCTCATGCTGGGTCTGGGAGCTCTGCTCCCCCTGGATAGGGGCTGCTGTCACCCTGCTCTGCTGCCTCTGGTTTTTAAACTGGCTCCCCTCGTGGGCCCGCCCTCTCTCATGGGCCCCAGCCCAGGGCTGTAAGGACAGGTCCGTCCGATCCCGTCCAGCCAGTGGGGTTTTAGCCCGCAACCCACCGGCTCACCGGCCATACCTCCAGGCCCCGCCCTGGGCTGTTCTCTCTCTCCCTTCTCCCCCTTTGCAAATCCTCTTCCTTTCCCTTAGGACCAGCACCCTACCTCTCTCTGCCAGCCCCCCTCCGCTTGCGTTTTAGCCCCTTTTAAAGCCTCCCGCCCATCTCCCGCTGTGCTGACATCACCCGTCGGTCCTGCTGACGTGGGCGCGTCCTTCCGCCCCAACCGTGCCCCGTGGCATGCTCTGCCTGTGCAGCTAACCCCACCCCTACTGCTCGACTGAGCCGCCACGGCCGTGCACGGCGGACAAAAACTCCGCGCCTCCCGGTCTGCCCCTAGAAGCGCGAGGGCGATTGTGGGGTCAGTGCGGGGCAGATCCACCTCGGAGGGGCAGAGGTAGTCTGTCCCGTCACACCAACTAAATCATTCCAGCCAGGGCTTTGTCAAGCCGAGATTTAAAAACCTGTAGGGATGGAGATTCCACCACCTCCCTAGGTAACCCATTCCAGTGCTTCACCACCCTCCTAGTGAAATAGTTTTTCCTAATATCCAACCTAGACCTCCCCCACTGTAACTTGAGACCATTGCTCCTTGTTCTGCCATCCGTCACTACTGTCAACAGCCTCTCTCCATCCTCTTTGGAACTTCCCTTCAGGAAGTTGAAGGCACGCTTCCCTTCTGCAGATTAAATAAACCCAGATCCCTCAGATGCCTCTCCTCATGAGTCTTGTGCTCCAGCCCCCTAAGCATTTTGGTTGCCCTCCACTAGACCTTCTCCAAGGTGTCCGCATCCTTTCTGTAGTGGGGGGGGGGGCGGCCCAGAAATGGACACAGTCCTCCAGATGTGGCCTCTTCAGTGCTGAATAAAGGGCAATAATCACTTCTCTAGATCTGCTGGCAATGCCCCTCCTAATGCACCCTAATATGCCATTAGCCTTCTTGGCTACAAGGGCACTCTGTTGACTCATATCCAGCTTCTCATCCACTGTAATCCCTGGTCCCTTTCTCCTAAACTACCCAGCCAGTGAGTTCCCAGCCTGTAGTAATGCTTGGGATTCTTCTGTCCCAAGTGCAGGTCTCTGTACTTGTCCTTGTTGAACCTCAAAAGATTTCTTTTGGCCCAGTCCTCTAATCTGTCTAGGTGATTCTGGATCCTATCCCTGCCCTCCAATGTATCTTTCTCTTCCCCCTAGCTTAGTGTCATCCGCAAACTTGCTGAGGGTGCAATCCATCCCCTCATCCAGATCATTAATAAAGATAAACTTAAAAAACAACAGAGAGTCTGGTAGCACTTTAAAGACCGGTTATCTGAAGAAGCAGGCTGTGCCCACAAAAGCTCATGATACCATCTACATGTTATGTTAATCTTTAAAGTTCTGCCAGACTATTTGTTGTTTTTTAAGTTTATCCTTTACAGACTAACTTGGCTACCCCTCTGAAGATTAATAAAGATGTTGAACAAAACTGGCCCTAGAACTCATCTTTGGGGCACTGCGCTTAAAACTGACCATCAACTGGACATCGAGCCGTTGATGACTACCCGTTGGGCCCAACAATCTAGCTAGCTTTCTGTCCACCATTTATCCAGTCCATACTCCCATATTGTGGGAGACTGTATCAAAAGCTTTACTAAATTCAAGGTATTTTATATCCACTGACTTTCCCATGTCCACAGAGCCAGTTACCTCATCATAGAAGCTACTCAGATTGGTCAGGCATGACTTTCCATTGGTGAATTCATGTTGACTATTCCTGATCATTTTCCCCTCTTCCAAGTACTTCAAAATCAATTCCTTGAGGAACCACTCCATGAATTTTCTGGGGACTGAGATAAGGGTGACTAGTCCCTGGACTGTCCTTTCTCTTTTTTTAAAGATGGGCACTACATTTGCCTTTTTCCAATCATCTGGGACTTCTTCTGATCTCTACTAGTTTTCAAAGATAATGGCCAAAGGCTCTTCAGTGACATTTGCCAACTCCCTCAGCACCCTCTTGCTCTGTCCAATGATGATAACCACTTGGCTGTGTGTGTGTGTGTGTGCTGAGTTGACTTTGCGTAAGTGGTCAGTGCAGCAGACTCTGAGAGAGTCCCTAAAGACCACAATATCAGATAAGGATCACAGGCACCAGACCAGGCTTATTGTCAAACAAAGTACAGTAATAGTAATAGTTGTTAGTAAACTTTACTGAATCAGTGTACATATGTACTTCCTGACAATGGACCACTCAACTCAGTAAGTGCCACTGCCCCCTCGTCCAGACCAGGACAACCCCTCCAAGACACAACTTTATATACAGGTACAAACAAGTTACACATTATTCCTGATGGGTCAGGTTGCCACCCTCTGATATTTACTTAGATACCACCATCACCTTGCACATGGCGGTTCGATCAAACATCTCTATCCATCGTGCTGTCATTTTAGACCCTGTGCTCAACCTGGGTAGGTATGTCCTGTAGTCTGGGGCAAGTGTGTGGGTGCCAAGATGCTTCTTAATGAGGTATTGTTACCATCCCTCTGGAATATGCTTTCAACCTGTGCTTAACACCAATTAGGATTTTACACCTCCGCATCATACCAGTTAGTGTTTTACACTATCTGCCCTGTTCATTTCAAGTTCTGTGAGCAGGGGCTGGCTCTTGTTCACAGCTTATCTTAGCTTTATGTTAGCAAAGTCTCGACCATTGTTGGCCACGCCTGACACCTCAAACCAGCCCTGTGATATATGGGTTTATGTTTCAGGCCCTCATTTTACTACACCATGGTAAAATCTTAATCCCACTGAAGTCAATGTAAATTTTGCTATTGACTTCAGTGGAGCCAGAATTTCACCCTAAGTGCTTTTATGACACTAACATGTGATAGTGTGAGTTTTTTCTAAAATAGTGTATGCTGACTTATGAAAGTCATATATTTATATGGCTTGGAATACTCCTAAAGTAAAGCAATTGTATCTACAATGCTGATCTTTTAATCATGTATTTGTAATATACAATGGTTAAACATAAGTAAACTTTGCATAATGGTATCTGGACTAGTGAATAATACCACCGTCAACTTTTGTCTGCCTTTCTTTAAAGGTTTGGAACTAACATTCTTTTCTGGAGTATATGGGACCTGTATTGGTGCTGTGAATAGATTTGGCACTGAAGAGAAAAGTCTTATTGGACTCTCTGGTATTTTTATCGGCATTGGGGAAATTGTAGGTGAGTCTAAAGAAATTTAAGTATAAAAATGTAGTTGTTGAGATTATTGAAAAGATTCTTTGTACACAAATATATACAGCACTACACATGTTAAACTTGAAGCAAAAATTGCATATGCAAGAAGTACAGTTCTACTAAAATTTGCTACAATACTTGGTGATGACCTTTGCAGTCCCTTCTAGTCCTATGATTCTGTGATTCATTATTGTGCTGTCTCTTGTATAGTTATTTATACCAGTACAAAGTGAGTGCAAACAAGGATGTGGAATATTTCCAGATAAGAGTTTTAGCATTTTACAGCCACTTTGCACTGAAATAAATGACTATATGAAGTGAGAACAACAGTGAATCCAGTCTATAGTGCAGGGGTGCCCAAACTTTTTTCAAAGAGGGCCAGATTTGATGAAGTGAACATGCGTGAGGGCCGACCATTTTGCCTGACATTCTTTGAACCATTAAAATTAAATGCAAATTAACTATTTTATGCAACGTTTATTGCAAACGGCATACTTTTCATTTCGTCACATGGATGACAAATCTAAACAGGTGTTAAATCACTCTGCCTTTCATATCTGAAGGCCAGATGAAAAAAAAATCCAGGAAGCTGAAATATATGTCAGGAACATTGTAAAGTACATTACATATTATTGGTAATAAAGGTTGTCTGTCAACTTTTAAGTTCAAAAAATATGAACAGGAACATAACACCAAGTATACATGTTGTGTCCAAATATATTTATAACTGATTTAGACCAACTGACATTAACTGAGATTTTACAATGTATTCATCTCAATACATATGGATTCGTTAGGGGCCATAAAAGATATAGGAATGGAGGCAGGGAGATGGGAGTGTAGGATTGGAAGATGGTGGTGGGTTAGGGATGGAAGGGGGGTTGACTGCGGGCCATGGAGCTCCGGCATAAGGATTTGCAGCCCAGATTACCCCCTCAGGCTCTCTTCCCAAATCTGGTTCTCAGTAGGGTGCAGGCATGTAAAGCTGGTGGCTTCCCCGTGGTTCCATGTCTCTCCATTGTGCCCTATGTGCATGGAGCACATCCCTGTACCCCCTCTCTTCCCCCCCCGGAGGAGCTCACTTGCCAGCAGGAAGGGCACATATGGAGCACTGCCATCCTGCAAAGACAGGAGGTAACCGGGTGCGGAGAGCGGCGGATTCTCTCGCTACCTGGCCGCTCGCATATAGCTCAGCCCCTTCCCTTCGCTGGCAAGTTGGGTGTCCAGGAGCACCTGGAACAAAGGGGATTCGTTTGGAGCTGGGCCTCATTTTACTGATTGCATTTGGATTTTGTTTACATGTGAGGCCCACAAGCCCACAGAGCATAGCCCTTCCTGACAGGAAGAGGCTTCCCTGGCAGAGGCTTCCTGGTCACCAGCTCTGGCAGCCCAGCTGCATCCTGGGATTCCCTGGTTGCAGCCAGGACCGGTCACGTGGCCCAGCTGACGCTGGGGTTCCTAGGCCAGGGCAGGAGCTCCCAGGCACTGCCTGGCCCCACTAATGCCAGGGGTTCCCTAGCCACGTTTCTTCACTAACGCTGAGGGTTCCCTGGCCAGGGTGGGGAAGTCTCCCCAGATGCCAGGGCTCCCCAACACCTGCATTGCTTCTGCCTCCGGGGCCCTTTGGTCCAGCAATGTCCATGGCCCTGCTGGACCACGGATGGTGCCAGACTAGGGAGTCCTGGATTTGGGAGGTTCAACCTGTACTTCAGTTGAGGCTTAATCAGTGCAGAGTAGAGAGGAAAAATTAGTAACACTTCTGACACTCCTGCTAATACATTTGCTTTTTTGCACCAGTGTTACACTGTTACCCATATTTAGCAGGTGGCCCACTGTGACCTCCAGATCCCTTTCCACAGTACTCCTTCCCAGGCAGTCCTTTCCCATTTTGTATATGTGCAATGTTATTTTCTAACTGGAGTACTTTGCATTTTTACTTACTGAGTTTCATTCCATTTACTTCAAAATATTTCTCCAGTTTGTCCAGATCATTTTGAATTTTAACCCTATCCTCCAAATTACTTGCAATCCCTCCTAGCGTAGTATTGTCCACAGTACTCTCTATGCCATGGGTGGGCAATCTTTTTTTTATATGGGGATGTTCCAAGATTTTGGTAAGTGATCAAGAACTGCACTTTTTCTAGGGAGGGTGTGGATCTGGGACAGAGTTGGATGGATAACAGAGCTCATGGTAGGGGATTGGTGTGGGGTCCGAGAGGGAGTTTGAGTGAAGAAGGGGGTTGTGATCTGGGGCACAGGATTGGCATGCATGGTCTGGGAGGGGGCATGGGTATGGGGACAAGAGAGGATAGGGTTGCCAGGTGTCCAGTTTTGAACCAGGCAGTCCGGTATTTGAGCTTTCTGTCCGGGAAACAAATTGAGAAAATATTGGACATTTTGTCCAGTATTTTCTAATTAAGTAAGTTTTTTTATTATCATGTTGAGTATCAGTACGTAGTTGCGTACTGCCTGGCTGGTAGATATGCTCACACAGCGTGAGCGTGTCTACCAGCCAGGCAGAATGCAACTACACAGTGCGTGGGGCGGGGGCTGGGAAGCTGTTGGAGGGAACCTGGAGGCTCGCCCGTGCACCCCGCCAGGACCGTGCGCGGGACGGG